ATGCTAGATTCCCCAAACATTCAGCTTTCATATGCATCTTTTGGATTCAATCTACGTGTTATAGTTTTCGAGAAAATCAATGAAATGTGAAAACACTGCTTTTTTCAACTTTGAACGCGTATTACAGCAATATGGATAAGAGCACAAGAATGTGTCTATACTTGCTGGACTCCCCAAATATTCAGCTTTCATATGCATATATTGGATTCATTCTATCTAGTATAGTTTTTGAGTAAATCAATGAAATGTGAAAACACTACTTTTTTCAACTTTGAACGCGTATTACAGTAATATGGATAAGAGCACAGGCATGTATCTATACTTTAACAGATATTTGGAAAATTTCTCACTGCTACTAATATTCGCGCCTCCCCTTAGACTAGTCCACGCCTCCCCAGGGAGACGCGCCTCACAGTTTGGAAAACGCTGATTTAAGTGATTATTCGAAGAGTGTACAAGATTTCTGGTGAGAATCAAATAATAAAAAAATGGTTTTAGGTAGTTATGGTTGATTTTCGTGAGAATTTGATGTTGGGAAGCGCCGTTGCTCCCAACTTCTTCGTGATGCATCTACTCGGTATTTGGCCGACGAAGACGAGCACCAGGTTATATAAAACGTACGCGGTGATCATCACCAGCTTCGTCTTCTTTCTGTACATCATCTCCGAGCTCGTGAACATCGTGATATCTTTCGGCGATTTGGAGCTGATCACGCAAGCCTCGTTCCTCTTCCTCACTCACATGGCACAGCTGGTAAAGCTGTACTTCTTCGGCAGATACCGAAACCGCATCCAGAGCTTGACGGACAGCTTGGAGCGACGGGTATTTCAGCCGCGCAACGGGCGGCAACTGGTGATGGTCAAAAGGTCGATGAGACGAGCTACAGTTACGTATTACGTCCTCATCTCCATGTCCATTGCGACGTGCAGTCTATGGGCTGTTTTTCCTATGATCGAAGTAGGCGAAAACGGGATGGAGCTACCGTTAAGTGCGTACTATCCCTTCAGCACTGATCTCACTATAGTCTTCAACGTGATCTTCGCTTATCAAATCCTCTCGACTGCTATAAACGCTGCAACAAATGTCAGCATGGACACGACAACCTCCGGCTTCATGTCTTTGGTTTGCGGTCAACTCGACATCCTCAACGACTCGTTAATTCACGTCAAAGACTTTGCTGAAGAGCAAATTTCTTCAGATCGTTCCATCAGTTTGGATGCAGCGATGGAAGAGAATCTCGTCCACTGCGTCGATCATCATCGTAACATATTACAGTAACAGTTTTTTACAATTTTCATTTGAAATCAATTAAACTTAAAATTTTTAGGATGACCGAAGAAATCGGTACACTCTTCGGCATCACCACTTTAAGCCAATTCGCAGCAGGCGCTATAATCATATGCATCACAATGTTCGAACTAACTCTGGTTTATAATCAAAAACAAACAAAAAACTAAAATTAATTGCATCAATTTGATTACAGGTGTCGCTTTTCAGCATCAAATTCGTTTCCATGGTACTTTACCAAGGTTGCATTCTCGTCGAAATCTTAGTTTACTGCTGGTTCGGTAACGAAATCATCCTTAGGGTAAGCTCCATCTATCATTTCATCAATCAATCAATCTATCAATCAAAACACGTATGTTTCAGAGTTCAAAGATCGCCAATTCGGCTTACCACTCGGATTGGACGGACAGTCCGACGTCCTACAAACGCAAACTTCTTCTAATCATGACCAGATCCAGAGTGCCCATAAAATTATACGCAGGCAACTTCTTCACCCTCTCCTTGGAAACTTTCATGACCGTAAGAGTTCACAGAAAATTTCTTAAACAATTTCTTAATAATAACAAAAAAAAATGCAGATACTTCGCACCTCCTGGTCTTACTTCGCCGTCCTCAATCGCGTCCACCAAGATTAATCGATAATCCGCAAAATTATAACATTTGACATGTGTCATTCAACTGACAACTTCTATAAGACAAATGTCATTGTCATGTATAACAACTTAAATAAATTCAACTAATTTAGGTTTTTTTTTTTCCGTATACAAATGAATGTTGCATATGAGAAATGTCATTGATCTGACATGTGTAACAACCGTTAAAAAAATGTAACTATATTTAGTGGAATTATTTTTTAGTTCAGTGAAATTCTGATTAAGACATATGTCATTGTCATGTATAACAATTTAAATAAATTCAACTATATTTAGGGTTTTTCTTTCCGTATACAAATGAATGTTGCATATGAGAAATGTCATTGATCTGACATGTGTAACAACCGTTAAAAAAAAATGTAACTAAATTTAGTGGAATTATTTTTTAGTTCAGTGAAATTCTGATTAAGAAATATGTCATTGTCATGTATAACAACTTAAATAAATTCAACTATATTTAGGGTTTTTCTTTCCGTATACAAATGAATGTTGCATATGAGAAATGTCAATGATCATGACATGTGTAACAACCGTTAAAAAAAAATGTAACTATATTTAGTGGAATTATTTTTTAGTTCAGTGAAATTCTTATTAAGACATATGTCATTGTCATGTATAACAATTTAAATAAATTCAACTATATTTAAGGTTTTTCTTTCCGTATACAAATGAATGTTGCATAGGAGAAATGTCATTGATCTGACATGTGTAACAACCGTTAAAAAAATATGTAACTATATTTAGTGGAATTATTTTTTAGTTCAGTGAAATTCTTATTAAGACAAATGTCATTGTCATGTATAACAACTTAAATAAATTCAACTATATTTAGGGTTTTTTCTTTCCGTATACAAATGAATGTTGCATATGAGAAATGTCATTGATCTGACATGTGTAACAACCGTTAAAAAAAAATGTAAC